TTTATTTATTTATTTATTTTGAGACGGAGTTTCCCTCTTGTTGCCCAGGCTGGAGTGCAATGGCGTGATCTCGGCTCACTGCAACCTCCACCTCCTGGGTTCAAGTGATTCTCCTGCCTAGCTGGGATTATAGGCATGTGCCACCACACCCAGCTAATTTTGTATATTTAGTAGAGACGGGGTTTCTCCATGTTGGTCAGGCTGGTCTTGAACTTCTGACCTCCAGTGATCCACCTGCCTCAGCCTCCCAAAGTGCTGGGATTCCAGGCGTGAGCCACCACACCAGGCCGGTAAATGGGGATTTTAAACCCTACTTGCACAGGATAGTTACGGGGTTAAATGAGACAGCGTTTGTAAAGGATGGCACAGGCACATGGCAGGTGCACAAAAATGTCAGTGCTTGCTCAGCCCTCCCCGTCTTCAACCTAACCAAATCCACTCTACGTCATTTTCCTAAGGAATCCAAACCTTTCCTCCTTTTTAAGGCATTTTCCTGGCTGCTCCTCCTCTACAAAAGGGAAATGCTATGTCCTGGGATATAGAAACAGGGGAAAGTAGGCTGGGTGCAGTGGCTCACACCTGTAATTTCAATGCTTTGGGAGGCCAAGGTGGGAGGATCACTTGAGGCCAAGAGTTCAAAACCAGCATGAGCAACACAGCAAAATTCCATCTCTACAAAAAAGTAAAAATTAGCTGGGCGTAGTGACACAAGCCCATTGTCCTAGCTACTTGGGCAGCTGCAGTGAGCTATGATCCTACTACTGCCCTCCAGCCTGGGCAACAGAGCTAGACCTCGTTTTAATCAGTCAATGTAATTTCTGGTCAGAGGAAGATTTTTAGATCCCAAGTTAACCACTGAATGGTACACATCACCCATAAAAGGCTTTTTACCCAAGATCTCTCTCAAAACACATTTCTCTGTTTTTCTTATTTTATTTTACTTTTTCTTAGAGACAGGCTCTTGCTCTGTCACTCAAGCTGGACTGCGGTGCCATGATCACAGCTCATTGGAGGCTCAAACTCTGGTGCTCAGAATAGCTCAAATGATCCTCCTGCCTCAGCCTCCTGAGTAACTAGGACTACAAGTAGGCATAAATAGCAAAAATTAGCTATTTTTTGGTTTTTGTTTATTGTTTTTTTGTAGAAATGAGGTCTTGCCACGTGGCCCAGGCTGGTCTCAAATTCCTGGCCTCAAGCAATCCTTCACCTCCACCTCCACCTCCTAAAGTGCTGGGATTACAGGTGTGAAGCACTGCACCCAGCTTCTCAGTTTCTCTTGATTTATTCACCACGGAAAGTAAAAATCTAGAAACAGCAGCAGGAAGAATGCACAGAAGGCTACTTGGAGAGACCAGACATCAATCAGGATCGATTTGTAAGACCAAGACACTGCAGGCCCTGCACCGGCCCTTCTTGAGCTCACGCCTCCTTTGGTTAAAACTCTTAGTAAAAAGGTATAGCTGCTCCTTCATTATTCTTTATTCTTTTGTTTTTGTTTTTGTTTTGAGATGGAGTCTTGCTCTGTTGCCCAGGCTGGAGTGCAGTGGCGCAATCTCAGCTCACTGCAACCTCCGCCTCCCGGGTTGAAGCGATTTTCCTATCTCAGCCTCCCAAGTAGCTGAGATTATAGGCGCCCGGCACCATGCTCGGCTAATTTTTCTATTTTTAGTAGAGATGGAGTTGCACCATGTTGGCCAGGCTGGTCTTGAACTCCTGACCTCAGGTGATCCGCCTGCCTTGGCCTCCCAAAGTGCTGGGACTACGGGCGTGAGCCACTGCGCCCGGCCTAAAAATAATTTGTTTAAAAAGCTTCCTGGTGAAAAAAAACCAAGGGACCCTGCAGGGGCAGGTGTGAGTAGGAAAGACGGGACCTGACCCTTCCCTAGGGTGACAGCCACACATCTGCTCTGCTCCTCCGCTGTCTAGAGGCGGCTGAAACCCAACAGGCTCAAAGTCACACACAGTGAAGGTGAGATGGGACCATCAACCCAGATCTGTGTCCTCCCCACCCAGGGGACCAGTCCCGGTACCAGGCATCGCGTGGCATCTTCTTGTCATTGCGTGGCACATCTTGTGATGTTTCTTGTCTTCACCCAGTTACAAACAAGGAGGCAGGGGCTCAGAGGGGCCCTAACAACTTGTCCAAAGTCACAAAGCGACGTGGCCCAGATCCGACTCCCAAATTATGGGGCCCTGTATACATCCTCAGTAAATGGTAAATTCAAGGAAAAGCCAAATGTCCCTAAATGTCCTCCTTTAAGAGGAAAATAACTAAGAGTAACCTAAAGCCATTAAGCCTTGCCTATGAGGAGAGAGCTATACCGTTTTGCCTACAGAATTTTAGAAAGATTCCTGATTTTACCTCTTACCTTCGTAATTTGTCCAGCCAGTGGCCTAAGAATTCCCCAAGCAAATGGGTGTCAGCCAAAAACATGGCTTTGAGCACAGGCTCACGTGAGGCCTGTTCACCATCATAGGCTGTGGTTTTCACTTCAGGCCAATTACACTGAAAGATCACTAAGTAATAGATTAAAAATTCACAAAATAGAAGCACAGCAAAGACAACAGCTATGAGTTTCAACAGCAATGCACTCTTCCTCTTTAACGGATGAAAATTCTGTCTTTCCAATCCCACTTCGATCATAGCCATTTCTCAAGCAACAACAAATCCATCAAGGGTTCACCATGAGAAAACTGCAGAGCCCTGGGTAGGGTGATGGCATCCTGGTCTTAGCTGGGCACCTACAGGGAAAAGGAAGAGAATTCAGTTATGTTCCCTAATAATACAGGTATCACACCTCTCTCTATTAAGAACTAATGAGTTACACAATCCTATCTACATTTCCAAATTAATTGTCTTATACTTTTACAATAATATGCCAGATTACTAACAAGGAAAAACTGACCTTTCCAACTCCTTCAAGCTCTCCATACCTCCATATGCCAGAATAAAGCTATTAGAATGATCTTCTCACCAAGGTGACAGTTTCGTTAACATTCTAGAAATCATCAAATGGGAATCCATGAGAATGATGTGTGTTAAGGTAGGAGACATAATGGAAAATTCAGCATTATTTAAGTGTAATTTGACTCCTAGGATTCCCCACCACCCCTCCTTGACCTTAAAAATCAACAGGTCATAAGACCCCTGTAACGTGTTGCTTTTGGTGTTAATTCATCACTTTTCTACTCTGCTGTTCCACAAAATAAGTGAATATTCATGGACAATGTGCTTCAAAGATCCAAGGAATTCCTTCCACATTGGACCCGGAGGCCAGGATCTGACACTGAAACCACCTTTGCAAAATTATAATGGTAACCCAAATCTGACATAGTTGACTCCGTCTTTCTTCTGACTGCCAAGCTGTCCTTGGTCATTCCTGGATATAGGCCAAGCTAACTTCGGGAGGAATTTAGTTTATAGGTTTTTGTTTGTTCGGTTGGTTTTGTTTTTGAAATGGGGTCTCCCTCTGCCACCCAGGTTGGAGTGTAGTGGTGTGATCTGGGCTTACTGCAACCTCTGCCTCCTGGGTTCAAGTGATTCTCATGCCTCAGCCTCCCAAGTAGCTGGGATTGCAGGCACCCATCACCATGTCCAGCTAATTTTTGTACATTTTTTTTAGTAGAGATGGGTTTTCGCCATGTTGGCCAGGTTGGTCTCAAACTCCTGACCTCAAATGAACCACCTGCCTCAACCTCCCAAAGTGCTGGGATTACAGACGTGAGCCACTGTGCCAGGCCAGTTTATAGTTTAACTTTGAAGCAAGAATGATAATAGTCTCCTCCCTGTTCTGAGGCCGAAACCACCTTTGAAAACTAATGAAAGGTTTCGAGATTAGGATTAGGGGAGGGGCTTGAATTCTGCTGAATGTAGTTTCTATAATCCCTTATTGCTCAGGAGTCATGTGGCCAGAGGTAACAAAGATTTGTGACTTCCCTCAATTTCTCCTATAGATAACGTCGCTATTGGAGACCCTAAGATTGATCTTTGCAGGTATTTTTCAGACTTTCGGGCAACTGATTTACCCCACCTGACTGACGCTGCCGGGACCCATATTTCATGACTCAACTGATCCTATGACCCCACCCAGAAGCAGACTCAGTACACAAGGACCGTTTTCCACGCCCCTGTGATTACATCCCAACCAATCAGCACCACCTGTTCCCCAGCTCCCTGCCCGCAGTACTGTCCATAAAAACCCTGACCTCTGAGATTCAGAGAGACTGATTTGAGTAACAATTCCATCTCAGTGGTCAGCCTTACGTTAATTAAGTTAATTAAACTTTTTTTTTTTCTTTTGAGACACAGTCTCACTCTGTCACTCAGGCTGGAGTGCAATGGCACCATGTCACCTCACTGCAACCTCTGCCTCCCAGGTTTAAGCGATTCTCATGCCTCAGCCTCCTGAGTAGCTGGGATTATAGGTGTGTGCCACCACGCCCAGCTAATTTTTGTGTGTGTGTGTGTGTGTGCGTGTGTGTATTTTTAGAAGAGATGGGGTTTTGCCATGCTGCCCAGGCTAGTCTTGAACTCCTGGGCTCAAGTGATTCACCCGCCTCAGCCTCCCAAAGTGCTAGGATTACAGGCATGAGCCACCAAACCCAGACTAAACTACTTATTTACTGCACTACCATAGTCTCAGTGAATGGTTTTGTCTGTGCAGTGGGCAGGAAGAACCTGTGGGTGACTGCTACAGAGCCACCATCTGTGAATGTGAATATTGAACACTGCAACCAGATTATATGTTTTCACAAAAATGGGTTTTCCCCTGCAAATATGCCTTAAAACTCTGGATGGCCTTCTTTTATAAGATATTTACGTATAGTGGCTTCTGTAAGGGAACCTTCAAATTTTTTAAGGATTCATCCCAAATACTGGATGAGCTTTGCATCCTGTAAAGAAAGCATCTATTTTTGAGACCTCCGAAGAGAAAAGTTGGTAAAAGGCTACCCTGAGATAGGCTATAGATGGTGGCATTCCACCTCCAGGTTCTTCAACTTGCGCTCGAGATGAGAATCTGAGAAGGGTGGTGACCTTCCCAGGGAGGGTATAAGGAGCTCAGATGTCAAAGAAGCCCCTGAAGTCTTATGGGGTGGGAGCTTTGGGAGACACTGACCAGAAACCCTAATTGAACCAATAAACGTCACCATTGGAGACCCTAAGATTGATCTTTGCTGCCTAGAAGATCTCCTAGCAGACAGACCTCGCTAGAAACAGCTGAAACCCACGCAGCGGCGACCACTGGGAGTTGAAAGGACTTCGTAACACCGTGATGTTTTCCTACCCAAAGGCTGGACGAGACACCTAGCTTGCGAGAGGGAAGGGAATGCTGAGCTTCTGGGGGCGGGCTGAGGAGTCTTCCAGGTATGCCAAAACCCTGTGGCTGTTTTGTAGGGGTTCTGGTTTCCCAAGATGAAATACCAAATGACAATTGAAATTGCTCCCTTCCTACACCCCCTTCCTTTCATCAGAAAATGACACTTGGTTTTGAGCAGTTATGACTAAGAAGTGCAAAAAAGCATCGTGCAAGTGGTGACGCAGGCTGGAGACAAGGCTGGCTGACAGCCTGAAGTGGCTCAGGCAGATAGTATGAAAACTGGCAGTCCTCCAGCTCTTCCCTGGATAGAGAGAGGATGAAGGACAGGGACACAGAGACAGCCTGGTGAGCTTGCACTTCCAGGGCAACGCTGGCTCCCCCACCTCAGCGCTCCCACTTGAGCACCACTCAGCATGCCTTCTACTCCTCGTGGATAGCGACCGCGTACCTACTGCAAAACAAAACCGGGTCAGTGGAGTTCAGAGACTTCTATGTTCTTGTACAGGTTCTAGACCAGGCATGAGCAGGCGCGTGAGGGCTCTTCCATCCCACCAGGAATGTCCAGGTTGGATCACCAGGACCATTTCCAATAGGTATAGTTATCACATTGCCTCCCTAAAAAACATCATTTAGCAGGGCCAGCCACCAGGGAGGAGACCAATCTCCTGAGTCCACAGCTTTCCACATTAAAGTGTGTAATTTAAATGGCAGATGGCCAGGGAAAAGAGCAAACTTCCTTGGACATATACATCAGGGAGAACAAAAATGGCAGAGGTATGACCTTCTAAGGGGCATCCACAGAAACAAGGAAGGAAAGCTTCATGATTACT